GGCTAAGGTGAGGTTGCAAATCCTTCCACCCCTCGTTTTGACGTGCGCAGGGTCAACGAACTCCCACCCCGCAATCTTGCACCAGAAAAACATATCATGAATCGGACTAGCCGCCACACGATGCCACGGTCCAGGGGTGACTTTATCGAACTTTTCTTTGGCCAGGGTGTGAGTTTCCTTGAGCTCTCTAGCCGACAGATTGTCTTTGGCACACAACTGGGCATCCGTACAAGCCCACCACTCAGCACTGTACCTGCGGAGGGTGGCAGCAGCATGAAAAATAGGGTCTATGTCTGGCGCGAGGCACCAGCAGAGATCGATGTTGGCCCCCGCCCCCCATAGACCCGTGCTCTTTGCAGTCAGGAGGCGAAGGGCACGGATCTCACTAGGCGGGTGCCCCTGGATCTCGTCTCCATACGTAAGGCTCGGCTTGACGCCGCAGACAAAAATCTGTCCCTTACTAGCCGTAGTCCCCCGCATCTTTTTGATCAAGGGCAGCCTCTGGAGGCCAGCCTTCCAGCGGGCCTTGGATTTGGCCCTGGCACCAGGAGCCGAAGGGCGCCGCCCGAGGGTAAAATCGACCCCAAGGTTGATAACATGGCCAGCAATTGTCTGTCCATACTTTCCTAGCACCACAGGAGCCTGCCTGGCCACCTCGCTGGAGTTGCTGGTGAACTGCATTTTCTTGAGGGCAATAGGAAGCTCTAACTTGTTGGTCATAATATCGAATATCTGTCCAGCGAGCTGAGCCAAGGCATTCAAACATGACATGACCGACGGCATGGCCACCGAGGTCGTGATGTCGTCAATGTGAATCGTGAGGTCCTCATCCTCACCTAAGGCTAGTTCTCGCGTCGATGGCAACATAAAACCCTTGATTTCGTACGTGGCAGTGGAGGATCCAGCAACAATCCCACGAGTAGGATCCAAGGGGTCACTAAGAGCCGAGTCCATCAACAGGCGACGAGGCCAACGGTAGCTGGCCAAAGTAAACCGAACCACGTGAGCTTGGCCGATTTTCCAAAGATGCCATTCGAGGCATCAGCATCGGACCACGCACACATGCGCGATGCCCATGTTCACGGCGCCGCGCAGGAGGCCTCCCGACAAGGCAGACCACGAGAGGACGACAGCCCAGGCAGAATTGGATGAGAACGCGCACATTGCTGGCAATGGATGAGCGAAAGGCGGCCTTGAGGCGCGCACGACGCACTCGTGCAGTGGCTCGGACAGCTATCCTTGCAGTTGCGGTGCTTGCGTGGGCTGGGGCGGTAGAGGACCACAAAACAGAGAACCTGTGCACGCTACAGCTTCCCCCAAGGGATCCACTACTGCATAGACTACGCAGTCACATAGACAACACGTAGGACGTAGCACAACACATAGACTACGCAGTCAGGCGAAGGAGGTCCAAGCGCACCTTGTGGCGAGTCTGTTGCGCACAAAAGAAGCCATCACACAGGCAAAGAGAACACGAGGAGCTTACGGGCAATTACAAGTACCCAAACTGGCGCTCCAGAGCCCTCCAAGAGGCCCCGACGTATACGCACTGGACACAGACACACACGCATCAGGGTGTCTCCAGGCAGCAGTACGTACTACAAGCATACCGAACCATGCAAAAACTCAAGTGTACATCGCATGCGATTCGGGAACTACTACTGGACCATACCAGCTACTATTTCAAAACATGCGCTACAATGGATGCCCAGCGACACTACGACCACCTCGCAACATTGCCTACGTCTGAGCGGCCCAAACATCCGCACACCATAGTATTCAAACGACGGAGGCATGGGAGCATGCTCGAGGAAAAGGCAGCCGGCCAGGCCGATCACCATGGCGAGGGACCCGACAGGAAGACCGGCAGTCTCAGCTGCAGAAGCAGCCAACATTTGGCTTGCACACCTCGGGCATGAGTTGAGCGCCATAGTTGCAGTCGAAGAAGCAGACACATCACAAAACGCGGGCGCACAGCGAGAGTTCACACACGACATTCCAGCACAGGGGATCCTTCTACCAGCTGTACACGAGTTCCAAAGCATGTGTGTCCGTGCCAAACCATCTGCCGCCAGCCTCGAGGGCATATCAGGCAGCTTGTTGCACAGATTCGGAGTGAAGCTCGGTGCGCTATATTACCCCTATCGCACTCAAAGCAGTTACAAGGCTGGACGAGCCCACGCAGTGGAAGGGAGGGAGCAACTGGGATATATGGGAGGAATCGGCAAACCCACTATACCCACTTCACTCCAGAACAGTCATGGTCTCGCCTCACCTAGGCAAACGTCGCCGAGCCCTACTTCGCACCTCTCTCGCTCATGCATTGCCACATACAGCAAGGGGGTTGACCTAGCAGGCGTGGCCATAAGGAGCTCCCAGACCATCGCAGTAGGGAAAAGCTCCCAGCAATGTTTCTCATAATTGGTGCCGTCCAAGCTTACAAAGCCACACGGCAACTCGTGATGGCTTCCTCACACACGGTGGAAGATCTGGCCATCACACTCAAGGCTGCTCGCCCACCACACGCCGCAATGCACACCATACAGGCTAAGCTAGCGCAGCCCACGCAAGCTCTGACACGAGCAGGAGCTTCCCCACATGTCAATGCCATCACAGCTACAGCATACCATGGGTCATGGTTCTACTATACAGGGGCTTCCAACATAACATTCCCAATGCAAGGCTCGGTACCAGGGCAACACTTGGAGGATGTGGTTTTCAACTTTGTGATGGCTGAATGCGTCAATGCAGCAGTTACACAGCTCACGGCCAAAGGATATCCTTTGGAGGTGCCCACAGCAGGAGAGAGAGCGATCACAGCCACGCTCGCAGCAGGCAACGACAAGGCTGTCCAGGCCATCGACATTTGCTGCTTTGATGGCGGCGCTTTCCTCATCCTCGGCAAAGCTCTGCAAAGTTTGAACATCGCCTCAGATGCGATTGGCACTGTAGCCACGGCCTTCACGAAGGTGGGCTCCAGCTCAACACGAAGAAAGGCAAGCCATACTGCGTTTTTCCAATTCAGAGGCCGAGGCTCAACCAAAGAAAGGGTGCGATTTTGGAAGGAAATGGGGGGACTGATCGGGGCCGACACACAAGGACTCGGTCACACGCAGCTACACGCAGTCCGCCAGTACCCCCACCTCGGCACCATCCTGGACGAAAGGGCCTCCCTGGGCCCGGAGCTGGCCCATCGACACCGAGCGCGCGCATCATCGTGGCACCAGCTACGGCGCAAAGTTTTCCTTCCATGGGAGGGTACGCACCAGACGAAAAAATCAAGATGCAGTTCCTTGACTGGCTCATCACGTCCTCGGAGCTATTTGATGCTGTCACCTGGCATGGCATGACGGAGGCGCAAGAGCGCTCCCCGTACTCCCTGTGCAGCAGTATTCTCGTCAAGTACCGTTCTGCAGCGCACATGGCCAAACATGATTGTAATGCAATTAGTGACTCATTGGTTCTAGCAACAGCACGACGAGCAAATGTGCAGACACAGCTTAGGGGACACAGGCTACGTGTCTTCGGAAGGCTCCTACACCACGGCTCCGAGGTGCTCAAAGGCCTAGTGGCCATGGCATCCCACTCCTCCCCCACCTCCTGGCTAAGAGAGGTCTTCAATGACCTGGGCTGGCTACAACACGTCATCAAGGAGCTGAAGAGCTCCCAGACCCCGACATCGAACCAGGTCCCTGGGAAGCTCTCATCTGCAGGTCCTTGCAATCATGGAGGCAACTACTCCGGCGAGCGCAGGCCAACCATGCTTCTGCTTCCAGGCGTCTTTCCATTGCAGCAGCAGCAGAAGCGATTTTGCACGACAGACGTCTGACCATGCGGAGTGCCATTGCCCATCACACACCCTGACCATCCATTGAGACAGGCGGAGCAAGAGGACAGGTGCAGATTGGAGTGCCCATGGTGCCAGAAGAAATTCCTCAAGAGGCCCGCGATGCAGCAGCACGTTGTTCAGCAGCACCACGCATTTGCAAGACACGTTGAGCTTGTCATGGGCCCGTCTTCCACCACGTCTTTCTCACAGAGAAGGCAAGTCAGAGACCATCTGACATTCGATTCAGCGAGGTGTTGCTTAGCTTATGTTCTGCGTGGAGCGGAGGCGCCAGCCGCCATTGCACGGGCATGGGCCCAAGAGGACGCAGCAGAGATGCGAGCTCAAAGGAAAGCTGGTCTAGGACGTTGGAGGCCAGCCTTCCCAGCCACCACGCATGTTCCTCCTGAAGGCCTCATATGGGACTCCAATTGGATGTTTGTGTCGCTATCTGAAGAAGAAGCTTGGGAAGTACTCAGGGATTCTCTCTACGAGCTCACCGACGAGGCCAGAAAGATCATCTACCAAGACGCCCCAGCAGCCACCAACAGCGCCTCAGGAGATCCAGAAGTTAGAGTAGAGGACAACGCGTACCAGGACAGGTACTACATTTACAGACCCCAGGACTTCCAGGACACAGCAATGGAGGCTAGACCAGTGCGTATACACAGAACGGATATGTTTATCTCACACCTTTTTTTCTGGCATGAGAAGGTCAGGTGACGTACAGTCCACATCGAGGCCGAAGCCCTTATGCCAGGCTGCCAGATCACAATGCTATCGGTCGACATTGCTACACACACGTTGAAGGGGGATCTTACAAGGAGGCAAACCATAAATGAGTGGAGGGGGCATGTCAAAGCACACAGAGTCTGGAACACAGGGGGGGCCATGCGAAACATGGCAGCGCGTTGGCTGGAGGGGGGGGCACTACGCACGAACGAATACATGCACGACAACACAACAAGAACAATCGGAGACGGGCAACAAACTGTGATTTGCGCTTGTGCAGTTGCTACGAAACCAACTCGCCGCAGAAACGAGCGGATGGATGGAGCATCCACAGTCAGCAGTTCGGAGACAGCAAGCGCCCACGTCCTTCATGTGGGGTCCGCTCAGAGCATTGTCTTCGCCCCCCATCTCGACTACCACGGACTTTGACCAGTGTGTTTTTTTGCCGCAGAGAGACGTGCAGCGCGACACTCCGAAACAAACGACGGTACACGACTGACGAAGACCGCCAAAATGGCGACCTCGGACCAATCGAAGAAACGCTCGAAGGCGCACCAGAGCGCGCTCCGGATAGGTTGCAAAAACACGCTGCCACAGATGCACATGTATAGCACACACAAGTGCTACGAAGGGCTGCAGAGGGTGCACCCTGCAGGCTACCAAAAACATGCTGAAAGAACATTGCAAAACTTACGATTACTATCACATCGCAGACTGTACGAGCGCTACGAGTGTTACTTCCCATTAAATTATCAGGCTATGGGGCCATAGGACTGTAGGGTTATAGGCCTGCAGGGCTGAAAAAGAAGAGAAACATTCCGTCGCGCGACTCCTGCCGCGCGAGCACGGCTGCAGAACGTCCTTGCCCTCATGTGAGACGGCCTTCAAGCACGCACTCCACACCAGCGAATTCTAGAAAAACTCTCAGGGGCTGGGAGGACGAGGAGGGAGGAGGACGAAGGAGAACAGACCTTGCCGGGGCTCTACCCTGGCAAATTCTCTCGGAAAACGATAAGAGGATACTTTCTCTCGCAAGCAGGTGTGGGACCCACCCAGCGGGAAGAGCGAAAAGCCAACGACAGAATACCCTGACTGGAATGTCCGTCATGCCACGACCTCTGCGCTCTCCTGGCTGGGAGCAGCGCCCTCGACCTCCGTGTTCTTGGCCATCCCCTTCGTGAACATGCTGCCTCGTTCGTCAGACCAATAGAGGAACACGGTCATCAAGGCCCAGAAGAGGACGCAGCCTGCATGAACGCGATACGGGATCAGATCATCGTCGACCTTCATCTGTATGTAGAACAGCTGCGTCGCGATGACGGCCCCGAGGTTCCCGCCTGCCCCCACCATCGCAGAGACGGGGCCCAGATGCTGCGGGATCATGAACGGCACGATTCCATAGGATGTCCCCTCCGCCAACTGGACGCCAAGCGAAAACAGCAGGAGGCATGGCAGCGCTGCGCTGAATGCGGTCATGTGGCTGAACAAGAGAAGCCACAGGCCCTCGAGCGCCAGGGCCAAGAACTGCGCCCAGATGCGGCCGGGGACACCCATGCGGGCAAACATGACATCAGAGAATATACCTCCCAAGGACCTCGCAAAGAGGTTCACGAGGCCAAACGCCGAGGCCGCAAGGCCTGCCGCCGCGACGCTGAGTACTACGCCGTCGCTCCAGTCGTAGTCCTTGAAATGCAGAGCCAGGCGGTTATTCATCACGAGCTCCGTGCCAAAGCAGGCGCCGTACTGCATGATCATGGTAAGAACGCGGGGGTCCTTGAGGCACTGCACGTAGTCCACGGGCGACACCTTGCTCTTTCCCAACTGCGTTACGTCGAACTTGCCGCAGGGCGTGTCCTGGGAGAAGAACCACATCAACACTGCGACGATCGAGAATATCGCAGCCGGAACAAACATGGAGACTCGCCAGCTCGCAGGCTTTGACATGCCGAAGCCGTTCAAGAACATCCCATAGATAAGCGGCATCAAGGATTGTGTGACCCCACCGCCGAGATTGCCCCAGCCACCGGCGGTCGCATTGGTCATGCCCACGATCTTTCTGTTGAAGAGGATAGAACTCCAGAACTGATTCGTCACGAATGTCGCCCCAACGGCGCCGATACAGAAACGGACCACGATAAGACCCGTTGCGTCTGTGATCGCGGCGGAACTCGCCACAAACAGCGCACCGAGGCTTAGAAGCGCCACCTGCACCTTGCGCGGCCCGAACTTCTCCAGAAAGCCCCCAAGCAACACCCGAACGAAGATTGTGCTTGCAACTGCTGTCAAGCCAGAAAAGCCGATGAGTTTATTGCACTCCGTGCCAGCACCGCACTTGCACTTCCCCTTCTCGTCAAAGCCGTCACACAAACCGATGTCTTCGCGCACAACTGCCATCAACGGTGCGAAGGCGAAGCATCCGACGAAAGCCCAGAAGAAGGAAATCGTGGCGAACCAAAATCCGCGCATGTGGGGGTTTGCCTCCTTCGTCCGGCCCCAAAAGAGCAAGCGAAGCGTGGTGGCCTTGCCCTGATCGTCGGTGGGAAGATCGAAAGCCTGGGAAGCGGAGGTTCCAGCCATCGCAACAGAAGACGACCTACCCCTGTGGGTGCTACGAGCGAAAGAGGGATATTCAAGGATCGAGGCGAGAATGTCCCGAGAGAAAGAAAGCAAAAACAACAATTTGAGCCAAAATGGCTACGGAGGACTTTGACCAGTATGTTTTTCAGGACCTCCCAGCAGCAAAAGTAGGTCGTGCGCCGACACCGATAGTTGCCATACGTATGCCCTCGTTACATACACACATTACAGCATAGGAAAATGAAGGGAGATGCCATCACGGCAGACAAGTACACATGACACTTGCTAGCAAATTTCCCGACCTACGCTGTTTTGAAACTACGGAAACTGGACCGTCAAAATCCAGGTCGCGCTCGTCAAAAAGA